GGCCCACAAACAAGTCTAGACAGAAGCAAAAGAATAGAGGAAAAGTCATTACTGGATGCCAAAGATGCTTTTTGGGAATCCTGTTCTCTTTCCATCCCTTTGGTTGACATTCCTTTCTCAACAAAACTTCTACCAAACACTTGATACCATTTCACAATCATCATCCATTCTTTTTCCTATTCTTGATAGCATTATTTTTTATCTCCCAAACCTACACACACACACACACACACACACACTTTCCCCATTGCATACCCACAATCTTGCTGTCTTCTCGCTCCAGGTAACGCTTCCACATTAAGTTGGCTCGGTCATCGTCACTACCACCGATCAAGTGAAAGAAGGAGCACTCATGAAACACAGAACTGGGCACCTCCCAATACCACTGAAAAGATCAGTACCTCTATCCCACTCGCCCAAACCCCCCTGCCCTTTTTTTTTTTTTTTGCAGAGCTAAGGACTGAACTTAGGACTTCCACTGAGGTAAACTACCAAATCCCCTTCTCTAAATTTATTTATTTCTCTCTCTCTCTCTCTCTTTCTTGTCCTGGGACTTGAACTCAGAGCTCGGGCACTATCCCTGAGCCTCTCTGTGCTCAAGGCTAGCACTCTACCACTTGAGCCACAGTGCCACTTCCAGCTTTTTCTGCTTATGTGGTACTGAGGAATTGAACCCAGGGCTTCATGCAGGCAAGGCAAGCACTCTATCACTAAGCTACATTCCCAATCCCCCTTCAAAGGAGTAATGTTTCAGGGAATCTTCTAGGAAAATTCAAAGTGAGAGAAAAAGGGATATACACAGGGAAGAACATACTGTTTCTCCACTTGGCTTCAAGCCTTTTTTATGTACTTTACTGCACATTAATTATCCCTCTCCCTTGATTTGATAAAATTCTTAACACTATCTTCTGCCTCCATCTGTACACTCCAGCTTCCCTCCTCCCTCCTTGCTTTCTTCAACTTCTATGCTGCTTCTCAAACCAGTTTCTATGCTCAAGTGTTTCCATAGACCCTACATCTCCAAAGGATGACTGGGAAAAAAGGGATAGGGACCAACTCTTACCTTAACTCGGGTTCTTCTAGCAGAGCCCCTCCTCGGCGAGGTGGAGAAGGAGCTGGACAATTGGTCAGAATTGGTGGAGCCCGGCGGCCTCGTCGGTTGATTTCAAGATGTAGCCGCTCCATGAGGAGCTTCAGGAACTCTTGGGCATCCTGCTGGCTATAGCCAGACAGATAATATAGACAACTGTCCCCTTCCTAGTCCATAAACACTGTCCTCTGCTCAGATATGGGTCCCTGCCTCCTAGCTGGAAAACACCTCCAGCTCAGAACAATGCTACCGGGGCTCCTTCTTGGCCCTACCCCAAGACATTAACAAGAGAGAAATCTTATATGCTCCAGCTCTCCCACCTGTATCCAGAGAAGGAGGGAACATATTTCTGGAAGACCGCTCGGAATCGAGTAGGATTCACAGCTTCACAGGAGTCAGGGTGCCAGAGAGCACCAATCACATCTGCAAAAGCTGTTGGGGTGGGAATGGGGAAGGGAAACAAGGTTAACGTCTGTAAGTCAAGCAAGAGGAAGCTCAGTGGTAAACAACATCTAGAAAAGGAGACACTAGGAAAATGTCTATCAGATAGAACAGTTTGGGGCCAAAAGCACAGGCAGATGCACCTGCAAGGGGTTGTGGGATAGGCAACAGGGGAGCAGGAATTTCCAACCCACCTTCAGTAAGCTCTTGGGCTCGGCCTCCTCCAGGCACTTCTTGCCGGTAGTCTCTTCTCAGACAAAAATCTCGAAGAGGCCGAGTGCTGCTCAAACACTGTAGCACAGCATTCAGGAAGCACTGATAAGCAGTGGAGACACTGCAGTTATCTCTCCAGACAAGTGCCCAGGGATCCTCTCCCTCCACATGCCTTCCCCAAATACAGAGTTTCTCCCTATCCCAGCACCATTTCATATTCCTTTTAGAAAGGAAGGCCAGGGAAATGGCTTACTGTGTTTCCTAGGTTTCGGAGACCAACATGACCAGAGCCTAGAAGCAGTGTGTGATGAGCCTGAAAGGTCAGAGCACAGTCAGCAGGTTCCCATATATCCTACCATATCCCATATATCCTAACATGCTGACCACTACCTCCCCAACCCCATATCTGCCCAAACTCTACCCATTTTCCCTCACTGGTCTTCCTACCTCGCTGGTCATGAGCAGTAAGCCCATCACAGCTGAGTGTACCACCGATTCAGCCATGGCTGTCACACCTATCCCCCACTTACTCCTCTGCCCAGCTAGCCTGCGTTGAAGCTCCTGGGGCAACTCCCCAAGCACTGGCATGGTTGCCCAGCTACTACCCACCCCCACCTTGCTGCCCCCAAAGCCCCGTCCAGCCCCCGTGGCCCTTTCTTGCACCCTCTCCTGCTGGCTGCAACTGCGATCAGCCTAGCTCACTTAGCTCAGGAAATGGGCAACCACATTAGCTCAGATGTTCTAAGCCCTCCCCTCTTCAGCTCCAGAGATTAATTAGATCTAGGCAGAGTCCTAGGAGAGAAGGTACAGTAAGCAAAAGGAAGGGCCTGGGAGACCCAAAGAATTCTAAATAGTTAGACTAATCCGCTAGGGACTGAAATGGCCCACCCAGATGGGGCCTCACAGACAACCCAAAAAAAGTAAGGGAGAGAGAAGACAGATACTGGTGTAATGAGGAGCTGAGAAAGGAGGACAGAAAAGCCATTATGATGTCAAGAAAACTGGAGGCATGGAGGTACACGAACATGGAAAAGCATGTGTGCTGACAAGTCCTCACCATCTTGTCATCAGAGTAGAAAGGCTCAGAAGGCCGGGCAGTTATCATGTGGAAGGAGCCATGAGAAGGAGGGGGCTCTGTCCGTATGCTGAGCAGGGTAGGGGGTCCAGGAAAGCCCCCAAGACGACGAAGAGAAGTACTACGTCTCAAAGTGGGTGGCTCAGGTCGGAGTGCTAATCGACTCAGTGCAGCCCCGAGCTCTCCAGTGCCACGGTGCCCTCCCAAGGCAATCCCCATTGGTCGCAGGTCCCCACTGCTCACAGACTTGGAACGGGCTAAGTTGGTCCGGGATGGGAGAGGCAGAGCCACTGTTGGGGGTGGCGAGCCAGGCAGGGGAACCCCATGATCTGCCCGAAGGGGCCCTCTGGGACGCGGGCATGAGGTCCGTCCCCGTCCAAGCTCCAGTTTCTTGAGCCGTTCATCAGGGGGACCTGGCCGGGGAGGCAGAGGTCGTAACATGGGGTTTGGCCCAGGAGCTGGGCTGCGGCGCTCCTTGCTGTGGGCCCTGGGAGCAAATGGTAGCTTGGATCCCACTCGAGGCTGGACATTGATAGGTGGCTCTCGGGTCCGGCCCAGGCGGTGCTCGGAGGCCTGGGGCATTGTGGACACTGCAGGTTGGAACCGAGAAAAGAGAGGGTCAGCATTTGAGTTCTGGAAGGAAATAAGACCCTGGACCAACCACACTAGCTCTATGTGTTCTGAAGAGAAGAGAATGTCAAGTCAGTCACTGTTTCTCTAGTATCTATTTCCACAAAGAAAATAGTTTTTCTTGAATAAATGAACGATAGTAGCTAATGACTTTGACCCTTTCTAACCACCCCCCATTTCCTTCCTGTAGAATTACTGAAAAGCCAGTGGTAATTCCCATCTAACCCATTTTTTTAAATGTATAAACTCGTAACCAGGCCGGCTAGTCAAGTAGGATGTGCCCTGGACTTGTGGTCAAACAGAAGTGTAGATGCAAGGATAACAACCCAAAAGGCAGTATTTAAATCTCAAAGCACTGGCCCTATGGGCTGCAAATGAAGGGGACCAAATGGATAATTTGCAATCCATTCCCTCCCCCACCTCCGAGCTCCTGCGTGGTGTTGGGGCTCAGGGGGGCAACAGCCAGGGATAGAGACGCATAATTCCTTGACCCCTTATCTCTGCACCTCTCCCACCACAGCAAGGTTTTACCCGGATCCGCCCCCCTCGAGGGCAGTAAGGCCAAAGCCACTGATTGGCTACGGGGTCCCGCGGCTTATTCCCGGCGGTGTGGGAACGCCGTCCCTCCAGCCCAGCTCCCAGGCCCTACCGGCCCCGCGAGCCTTTGCTTTTACGAAGAAGCCCTCTGGGATCTGGAGCAGTCCTCCTTCGGCTCACCCACCCCACCCTGCCCCAGTACCCCGGCCCATACCTGTCCCCCGGCGAGGTGGCAGGGGAGGCCAGGCTCCCGCTCAGGGCCACCCCCTCCTGCCCCCGTGCAGCCCCCCCGCGGGCCGGGCTGCAGCTTTAGCCGCAGCTTTTGCCCTGATCGCTCCCGCCGCAAGGGCCGCCGCCATCTTTGTTGGTCCCGCCCGGCCACTGGCCACCGGCTTCACGGTCTGTCAAAGCGCCTGCGCACCCACGCTCAGAGTCCTCCCACCCGCCTCCAGGGCGCTTGCGTGAGCCCGCCCCCACGGCTCCACGGCCGACACCATGGAAACGCAGCCAACTTTAGAACCGCTAGTTCCCAGCCCTGCCCAGGGTGGTCTTTAAACCAAGGCTCCAAAGCAAATCTTTGAGGACTGGGCTCCTGACGACGGTCCTGTGGCACATAGAGCTGGAGATCTGACAACTGAAGAATGGCTGAGAGGTTCGCAGCATAGATCCTTCACAGCCGGTTGGGATGCCAGTGCGACAAGCTGCAGGCCTAAGTCCTGCCTGCAGCCCCGTGGAGAGCAGAACAGGGAGGACCCCTCAAGGGTAGGAAATGCTTGACCTACCAAACTATTGTTCAAGCTCCGAACAGACTCAAACTGTAGGGTTTAGCTCACTACTGAAGTGCAAAAGCAGATGGCAGCACCAGCACAGACAGCAATCAGATTTTCTTTCTTTGCCCAGTTCCTCACCAGAGCATCCAGTTTTTTCCTTCCTCCCAACCAATACAGTCCATGTGGCTCCAGCTTTATTTAGCCTGCTCACCAAGTTAACAGCCACCAATGAGAACCACAGTCATGACAGGAAGCAGCTTTTATTGATGGGTTGACTCCAGAAACCAAAAAGGGCTATGCACTCATTGTCAGTTATACCTATGCCTCCAAGACTGAGGACCTTGGGGGAAGGGATATAAACTGCCTCTTGGTGTTTCAAGACTCAAGTCTTTCTCCACTCTGTGCATCCTAACTTAGAAACTTAGTGGCAACATTTGTTGGGTTTTAACCACAGCAATGTCTGCTGCAGATTCTACTAGAAGCTACCAGAAATGGAGGGGTGTAAGGGGAGGCAGTCTAAAGAGTAAGAAAAGTGATGCACAAGAAAACAGAACATAGCCTGAGGGACAAAGGTTCTTTTGTCCTGCCTCAGTAACTTGATCCTTCATTGGTTGCATTTCTCTTTGTGCTGGATCACGCCCTTCTGAATCAGATCAGGGATTTCCACTGCCAGCCATGGACCCAGCTGCAACACAAGGGAGAGCCTATTACCACCCCATCAATGCCTCTTGTTGTTCCATCAGAAATTCCTTCCTGGAGAGATTCTGAGAGAACATGTCCGAGGAACAACATTTTATTCCTGTTTAATCTTACCTACTTTTCTTTTACTGCTCAGGACCTGAACCCTCTCTCTACATCTCATGCATCAAATACACAAAACTTACCCCAAGGGCCATGAGATGAGCTAGTCCAAATTTGGGTACATTTCTGGCCCACAAAGGTTTGAAGTGATCAGTCAGGCATATTTTGCCACCCCTATGAGAAGGACAAGAGGAAGATGTTGACATGAAAATTTTACCATAATGCCCAATAGTCTTTGAAAGCACAGGAAGATTAGTAGAGATCAAAAGAAGAGGTCCAGTGCTGGTAACTCATGCCTGTAAGGGAAGTAAAAAAAGAACCCAGAAAATACTTATCAAAATTTTGTGTCTGCTAAATTAGGTGGAGCCCAGGCATTCTATTCACTGCAGACAAGCCCCTACTTACCTTTCTTCTGAAAGTTGGGATAAACACGCTAAGAAAGGTGAGATCTGAGGATTGTGGTTCAAAGCCAACCCAGGCAGGAAAGTCTGTGAGATTGTTATTTCCTGTTAACCATCAGAAAATTGGAAGTGGCACTGTGGCTCAAAGTAGTAAAGGGCTAGCCATGAGTGAAAATGCTCAGGGACAGTGCCCAGGCCCTGAGTTCAAGCCCATGACTGGAAAACAAACAAACAAACCACAACAAAAAAAGCTAAGTAGAAAGTCAGTGTCAGGTTTGGTAGAGGGAGGCCAGCATACTTTGGGAAAATTTTCTGCCTCGAGCTATTCCCTGAGGTTCTTTCTCATCTATTCAGTCCTACCTGTACATCTTTGCTGTTTTCCCATCCAGCTCAGGTACTGCAATTTCTGGAGCAGTAGTGGGATATGTGATAGGAATCTGGAGGAATTACAAAGCCTTCATAAAACAGAGAATCAGAACAGAAAGGAACTAATCTAATCAAACACACATTTCTTTGGTGAACTAAAATGTTTAGCAAACTCCCCAAACAATACGTACATGCCAGCATTCTGGACATAGAAATTAGTAATTTAACTTTTGCTGGCTTCAAATCTCAGCTTGCCCCTTCCATTTTTAAAGTTTTCTTTGGACTCATCAAGAAAGGGTAGCTGGTTAACAATCACCTAATTTATCCCATTCTACTAACCTTCACATTTCCCACTCCATCACACTCACGTCAAACTCGATGTTAAACTCATATTTGAGGAGGTCATGGATGTACCAGCACTTTCCAAACCACCTGTAACAAAGACCAAACCTTACTCCAATTATCCCATTCTCATCATTCTTTTTTTTTTTTTTTTGTCGGTCGTGAGGCTTGAACTCTGGGCCTGGGCGCTGTCCCTCAGCTCTTCAGCTCAAGGCGAGCGCTCTACCACTTGAGCTACAGCGCCACTTCCGGTTTTCTGGTGGTTTATTGGAGATAGGAGTCTCACGGTCTCTCCTGCCCGGGCTGGCTTTGAACTGCGATCCTCAGATCTCAGCCTCCTGAGTAGCTAGGATTACAGGCGTGAGCCACCAGCGCCCGGCCATTCTCATCATTCTTAAATGACATCTTAGTTTAGGCCTCCAAACTGAAAGAGTTATGGGGTAGCTCTGGAGCTATGAAAGTAGATGTAATAACACAATGCATGGCAGCTCTGGCCATGGGCTTTGGGATGCCAAATTGCTAAAGCCAGGTAAGAGTCCCATCTCACAACTTCCAAGAGGGTCTGCCTACCGGGTTCCTTCCTTGTTGGACTCCAGTCGAAACCAATCATTGTCTGCATTCTTGTTGTTCTCCACATACTGAAAGCAAAAAAAAATGAGATCTTTGAGGATGGAATCAGGACCAAGGGAAGCCACTCCCTTTGAAAGAAAAGTGTTATTACTTTCTTTCTTTTTTGTCGGTCATGGGGCCTGAACTTTGGGCCTGGGCACTGTCCCTCAGCTCTTCAGCTCAAGGCTAGTCCTCTACCATTTGAGCTGCAGCGCCACTTCCGGCTTTTTTTCTGCTTATGTGGTGCTGAGGAATCGAACCCAGGGCCTCAACCACTGAGCCACCTTCCCAGCCCAAGTGTTATTACTTTCTTTCTTAGTGTGTTTACCTAACTTTCTGATGTAAGCAAAGCAGAAGAAAAGGTTACACTGGTAAGTTGGGGCTTGTCTGCAGTGAATAGAATGCCTGGGTTCCACCCAACTTAGTAGACACAAAATTTTGGTAAGTGTTTTCTAGGTTCTTTTCTTACTTCCCTTAGTGTTTGCACTGATCCCATAATTCACTTTATATTTATTCCCTTCCTGGAGAACCCCTGATGGTGCTGGCTTCTATTAGCACCCATGAACTAATAATTCCCAAGTATTTATCTTTAGTTCAGATCTTCTATCAGAACTTAATGTTTGAGTATTTAACTGTGTGTTCAAACTTTTGCCTTAGTTTAACAGATAACTAAAACACAGCACTTCCACCTGGAATTTATACTATTCTTCACACCCCCTTGTCTTTTTGCATTTTCAATCTCGGGTGGTTGTGTCACCCAACCCAAAAGCTTGGCAATAATCTTTCATACTCCTTCTCTTTTACCCTACAAATTCTTCATGATATTCTGTTGATTCTTCTGTAACTCTTCTCTGTCCTCATTACAACTGCCTCGTTTACACAATCATCTTGCACTTGGATTAATGACAGGCTCTTAGCTTGTCTCCAACCTTCAAGCTTTTCTACCTGTTGATTATATTTTTCTCTCTAATGCCACTGTGAATGATTTAAACACAAATCTTAACCATTCCTCAGCTTAAAATCCTTGAAAGACATCTCAAGCTTCAAAGTAATACTCAAGTGCTCAAATCTCCATCCCCTCCCCCAGTATAATTTACTACTCCCTGCCTCACACTTAATGCTTTAGCAACTTTGTACTTGTTTCTTTATACACACCACACTGGTGCTAGTTTACATGCCTTTGCTGGTGTCTTGGTGCCTTGAGTATCCTCCTCCTACTCTCTCTCTCTCTCTTGCCAGTCCTGGAGCTTGAACTCAGGGGCCTGAGCACTGTCCCTGAACTTCTTTTAGCGCAAGGCTAGCTCTCTACCACTTGAGCCACAGTGCCACTTCCGGCTTTTTTCTTTTTCCTTATGTGGGGCTGAGGAATCGAACCTAGGGCCTCATGCATGCAAGGCAAGCACTCTACCGCTGAGCCACCTTCCCAGCCCCTCTATTTTTATATCAGGCTAATTTATGTTTATCCTTAATTCTCAAGTGTAACTACTTCCAGTAAGCCTTCCTGACCAAACACAAGCTGGTCTAAGTATCTCTTTATGCTCTCCAAACACCCTATTTCACTCCTTCCAATATAAAATTAAAAATTACAACCCTAACATGCGGCTCTCTCATGAAGGGCGAAGTAGGGGGCAGAGATGCGCTAGTACTTAGGACCTTAAGGAGTACTTTAAACCAACTCCCATACATCCACTACAGCAAACACCTGGGGCCCAAAAGACACGTCACCTTCCAGGGAGATGTAACCCTAAAACACTGCTGGTTTTGCCTACAAGGTAGAGCCGCTGGTATACTTCTACCTGAATTCTGCCTCCTCCCCATCACTACTATTCCACAATCCCCCCCAGCCCCACTAGCGTTTCAAGTCTTTACATTTGTTACATTTAAAAACCGGAAGCGGCTTCCGCCCGGAGACTATTCCTGAGGACACCCGATTCCCCGCAGCTCCTTTTGCAACGCAGTTGACTATGGAGCACAACTGACCCGGATAAGGGACTGGTATTCCTCCTTGAGTCGCTGCACCCACAATTCCCGATCTCGAGGTCCGGCGTTAGTCTTCAGCACTGGGATTTCAGACACGACCCGTCGGGTGGCCTCATCCGCCATCTTTTTCCAGGGCAAAAAGAAATGCGGAAGTGGCGTTGCTAGCGACATACACTCAGGGCGCAGCCATTTTTACTGTGGGAAGGTGCAGCGTTCCGTCGTTTGAAAGCTTCAGAGGATGTTCTCTATTTTCTGGAAGCAGAGGCAGATTTGCCACCTGCTTGTGTGTGCATGGGGAAGAACAGAAGGGAAACAGATTGTTCGGTTCTGAATATGGCATCTATCATTAAATCTCCAGAGAGGTGATTCATAGAGTAACTTCCGTTCATGCTCAGAGAAGCAATCGCAGAAAATCCCATCACCAAAACAACTCAAGTGGCTCACGCTCCAATCTCCAATTAACTACCAAGAAGCCGGACGTGGCTTTGTGCCTCAAGTGGAAAAGCACTAGCCTTGAGCACAGATTCTGACTTCAAGCTTCAGGACCGGCCACAAAAAGAGAAAAGAGGGAAAGAGAAAGAGAGAGGGGAGGAGGGAGGGAGGGGCGGGAGAAGAGAGAGAAATTGGCGGGCGGGGGGGGGGGGGGAGGGGGGGAGGGAGAGGGTTCCAAACTAGATCCTTGTATTATATTAAGTTGTACAAAAGGGTTTGCAATTCCATAATTCAGGTAATGCAGTACAATGCTTCTTGGACAATGTAATGTCACTCCTTCCTTCTCTTTCCCCCATTTTCCTCCTCCTGTCCCTGCTCACAAGTTGCATAGTTCATTTTTTACATAATGTATGTGTCTATGAATACAATGACTACATTTCTTCCCTCTATTCAAGTGACCCACTTTTTGAGGAGGAATTATTTTATCCAGGAAGGAATCATGTCATTCCATTAAGGAAGTTCCCATCCATTCCTTGTATGTTGAAAATTCTTAAAGCCAGCCAGGGCAGGAAGGTTGTAAGACCCTTATCTCCAGTTAACCATCATAAAACCGGAAGTGGTCTTGTGGCTCAAAGTGGTAGAGCACTAGCCTTGAGCTCAGGGACAGGGTCCAGGCCCTGAGCTCAAGCCCCATGACTGATGCCCCTCTCACCCTTCCCCCCCCCAAAAAAAGTCCCAAACAGGTGTGTTTAATGCTTTTTCCTTTTTAATGCTCTTTTTTTTTTTTTTGTCGGCCGTGGGGCTTGAACTCTGGGCCTGGGCGCTGTCCCTCAGCTCTTCAGCTCAAGGCGAGCGTTCTACCACTTGAGCTACAGTGCCACTTCCAGTTTCCTGGTGGTTTATTGGAGATAGGAGTCTCACGGTCTCTCCTGCCCGGGCTGGCTTTGAACCGCAATCCTCAGATCTCAGCCTCCTGAGTAGCTAGGATTACAGGCGTGAGCCACCAGCGCCCGGCCTTTTTAATGCTTTTTTGAGATGATCGTATAGGTTTTGTCATTCATCAGGATGTTACATACATCTCTTTCATTAAAAACAGTGGCTATTGAGCCTATGAGTGTTGCTCAAATGTACCTGCCTACCAAGTACAAGATATCAAGTTTAAGCCCACTAAATAAATAAAACTAAGCAAATAAAAAGATATTAGGTACACCTAAGTCAAAGCTTTCTATTACTTCTTCTGAAAATTATCTCCCAGGAAAAAGATTTCATTTTAGGTGTGGCCATGAGGTATGGTACAGAGAAGAGATTTGGAATGTGGCTTTACAATTTATTTGTCACAACACTTTGTGTAGTTACTCTGTGCATTTTCTCACCTATAAAAAGAAAATAATTCTTTTTTTGGGGGGGGAGGGGTCGGTCGTGGGGCCTGGGCGCTGTCCCTCAGCTCTTCAGCTCAAGGCTAGCGCTCTACCACTTGAGCCACAGCGCCACTTCCGGCTTTTTTCTTTTTGCTTATGTGGTGCTGAGGAATCAAACCCAGGGCCTCATGCATGCAAGGCAAGCGCTCTACCACTGAGCCACCTTCCCAGCCCAAGAAGAAAGTAATTCTTATGGGATTACTGTAACTGTATATGCAATGCCATAACATATATAATAGGATTTGGGGATGACATTCAAATAAATAAATGGCAGTAGGTTAGTGTTTTTTTTTTTTTTTTTTGCCAGTCCTGGAGCTTGAACTCAGAGCCTGGGTGATATCTCTGAGTTTCTTTTGCTCAAGGGTAGCAGGCTGCCACTGAAACCACAGCTCTACTTCTGGCTTTTTTTTTTTTTTTTTTAATTTATTGGAGGTAAGAGTCCCATCAACTTTCCTGTGTAAGCTGGCTTCAAACCATGATCCTCAGATCTCAGCCTACTGAAGGTAGGCTAGGTTCACAGATGTAAGCCAGGAATGCAAATTTTTCCTAGAAAAACATGTGTTTTTTTTTTTTGTTTGTTTTGGTCATTTTTTTTTTTGGTCGGTCATGGGGCTTGAACTCTGGGCTTTGGCGCTGTCCCTGCACTCTTCAGCTCAAGGCAAGCACTCTACCGTTTGAGCTACAGTGCCACTTCCTGTTTTGGTTATTTTGTAGGTAGCCCAAATTGGTCTTGAATTCACTGTGTAGTCCATTCTGGCTTCAAACTCATGATGCTCTGTCCTGTGCTTCCTGAGTGCTGTGGTTATGGAGTGTGTTCCATATGCCTAGCTAAGAGTGTTTAAATAGTGGGTTTAGCTTGCTGTTTTTTAAGTAATTCTCAAAGGAGATCAGAAGGGAAAATTAAAAATACTAAAGAGCTAAGGTTCACTTTTTTTTCCAGAGGAAGAGTTCAATTATATGTTTATGATATTCTCATTGTTTGGTGAAGTAGAACATGTAAAACCCTCTGAAAATAGTTGAGTCTCATTATCAATCATCATGGGAAAGGCAGCAGCTGGGACTGAAGAAGAAATAAATACTGTATTAAAGAAATTAGCCACTGAGCCCCTCTATCAGTTGATGAGAACCCAATTTTGGAATTATTTTTGTTGTTGTTAATGTCTTTCATTATCCTGGAGACTTCAACAAAGAATTATTGTAAATTATAGGTTAGTCTTTGTTATGCTATGGGAATTGGATTCCCAATGCTATGAGAATTAGAATCACTTGGTAAAGAAAACAATAGTAACTAAAATTTATAGAGTGTTTTACTAAGGATTAGGCACTGTTTTACATTTTAAATAGAGTAGCTGATTGAATACTTGTAACAGCTCCAGTGTGGATACTTTCACTATTATTATTGTTTGTCAGTTGTGGGGCTTGAACTCAGGGCCTGAGCACTGTCCCTGAGCTCTTTTGCTCAAGGCTAGCACTTAGAGACACAGCATCACTTCCAGTTTTCTGGTGGTTAATTGGAGAATAAGAGTCTCACAGGAACTTTCTGCCTGGGCTGGCTTTGAACTGTTATCGTCAGATCTCAGCCTTCTGAATAGCTAAGATTACAAGTATGAGCCACCAGTACCTGGCTTACTTTTATTATCTCAATTGCATTTCAAACAACTGAAGCACCTTGAGGTTCAAATAGAAGAACACCTATCACTCAGTAACTAAATGACAGCCTGGTATTCAATTCCAAGTATACTTTGGCTTTAAAAGTTACATCCTTAATCAATTAATATGCCTTTCTACCATCTCCAAGCCATTATGAAATAAACAGTAGGGATGTGAGTGGTTAGGGGGGTTGAGTGCAGAGTAATCGATACTGAATCTGTTTCTAAAAACACAAGGAGAGACTAGTAGCAAGCACAGTGAAGCACATGTATGAAAAGTTCAACTCCCTGTCTTTAAGGCTGACCTGTGCATGGGACTCTCTGAGGGATTAATATCATCTACAGATACTTTGAAACTATGGACACTGTGTTTAATTTTTTTTTTTTTTTTTTGGGGTCCGGTCGTGGGCCTGAACTCTGGGCCTGGGCGCTGTCCCTCAGCTCTTCAGCTCAAGGCTAGCGCTCTACCACTTGAGCCACAGCACCACTTCCGGCTTTTTTGTTTTTGCTTATGTGGTGCTGAGGAATCGAACCCAGGGCCTCAGGCATGCAAGGCAAGCGCTCTACCACTGAGCCACCTTCCCAACCCTGTGTTTAATTTTTATTTTCCTGTTTCTTTGCTTTTTTTTTTTTTTTTTTGTACTGGTGCTGGTACTTGAACTCAGGACCTGGGCAATGTCTGTGAGTTTTTTTGCTCAAGGCTAGTGCTCTACCACTTGAACTCAAGGTTTGAGCAAAAAAGCCTCAGGGACAGTGTCCAAGCCGAGTCCAAGTCCCAGGACTGGCAGACACTCAAAAAAATTATACTTTAGGGCTAGGTATGGTGGCTCACACCTCTAGCTACATGGGAAGCATGCCTGTGATTCCAGTAACATGGAAGGCCAAAGTAGGATTGTGGTCTGAGGCTACTAAGGGCAAATTATGGCACACTACTGAAAAATAACTAAAACAAGCAAAACAGTGTAGGTGTGGCTCAAAAGGTTGAATGCCTGCTCTGTAAGCTCCAGACCCCAAGTTTAAACCCCAGTATAAAAACAAAAACTGCCAGGACTCTTAGTGTTTTAAATGAATTTAGAGTCATGGGCATGGACATATAGAATTCCAGAAATCAAACTTTTTTTTTTGGTCAGTCGTGGGGCTTGAACTCTGGGCTTGGGCGCTATCCCTGCGCTCTTCAGCTCAAGGGGAGCGCTCTACCGCTTGAGCCACAGTGCCACTTCGGTTTTCTAGTGGTTTATTGGAAATAAGAGTCTCAGGGACTTTCCTGCCTGGGCTGGCTTTGAACCATGATCCTCACATCTCAGCCTCCTCAGTAGTTAGAATTACAGGCGTTAGCCACCGGCGCCCGACAAATCAGAACTATTAAGTTGCATCCTCTTCACATAATCTGAGAAAACCAAAATAATGCAAATATTTGTATTTTCAAAGAGGAAAGTACTTCATCTTGAATTCTGGAAACCAAAAACTAAGGTTACTGATTCTTAGTAAAATACTAAATGGTTATTAAAAAACAATTAGTAAAAAAAAGATCTAGAAGCTAATCCAACTGTTCATTATAATTTAGTCCTCTAAGTTGTAATCTTTTTGCTTCTTTAGGACTTTCTCAAGTTATCTTTTACTCAGCAGAGAATATTCCTTCTACTCCCCTCCTAGCTCTGGATTAAAAACAAAAACAAGCTGCGCGCTGGTGGCTCATG